CTTTTCATGGCACGGGGTTACAAACTACTCTGTATGAAGCACAACTTTGAGAAGAAACAAAACAAAACATTTTGGCAAACAATACAAATGAACTATGTATTGTTTTGACAGAATTCAGGGATCTATTTTTGTTTATTTCTCTACTTAAGTACAGAAAGTGATTGTGTGCAGATACATGTTGACTGTTATCTCTGTAATCTTTAAAATGTGTTTTGGTTTGTGGCTACTTTGGATGCTAGTTAAAAGATTTGGCTTTTCAGGGTAGCCCAAAGTGCTTTTCTAGGAAATGATAAAGGATCTATGTTTTAAGATGTTATCTTCTTTTTTTTTGCAAACTTTAATATTTATATCAAGAAGTTAATCTTTTCAGGTCTCTGTCATTACCATATGTTTGACCACCAGAATTCCTGCTCTTTTAATGTAACGTACAGCTTAATTTATATGTTTTAAATTTGCATATGGTATTTATTTTAAACAAGATGTCATTTTATACTCTTATGTCTCATTGGACACTGTGACTGACAATGTATAGATCTCCAACTTGATTGACTTTTACTATTGGCTGTTTATCAAACTGAAATTCAGAATAGTCATTTGCAATGCACAGAACCATGAATGAAGGCTAAAAAAAGATAGATGAAGAAAACAAATCAGCAGAAAGCTTGGATTTATAACTGATTGTCCTCCAAGGAAGCTCATTCAGTGGTAGAAATGGCCCACCACAGTGGGGCAGCAGAGCTTACCGGAGGAGAGGAAGGCACCTGGAAGGGAATGTCCTGGGTACTGATCTGCCTCTATTTACCACCTCTGTGACCTTGGTAAAAATTCTTCTGTAGGTAAGTCACTGCCTTGATAAAGTAGAGATAATATTAGAACTACTTCCTATTAATGCTAGGATCAAAGGAATTAATATTTGTAAAACATCTTAAAACTTAGTTTAGTACAATATAATGTCTTAAATTTAATAAATATTTCTAATTGAAAATTACTTTTTCTCTGAAATAATATCTTTCGTCATTTTGAAAACAAGTACAGTGGAACCTTGGTTCATGAACTTAATTTGTTCCACGGTTCTGGAAGAGATGCCCATGTTCATGTTCCTGCAGGAAAGATGGGCTGCCACTGTGTTCATCACCTGATGCAGAGTTTGTGAACAAACGTAGTGACAGTGGTGCTGAGGTCCACAGATGCGTCATAGACTGAGGGAGCGCTGTGATTACTTTTCATACATTAATGTTAGATTTCTCCTTCTATGTAAAGCAACTAGTCATATATACTAGTTAAAGAAACAATTTCTATTCTAGAAGACAGGTTAGTGAAACAATGATCTCATCAGGGATAAGCACATTCGCTTCACTCTTGTTGCCTAGTAACAGTAAGATAACGTTTTAAGATATGTGGTTGTAGATTTTGTCAGCTAAAAGGAGTTTACAGATCATTTGCTAGTTTAGGGTATTTAATTTCTATATGATATCTGTCATGATATTCTAATATCTGGAAGATAGATTAGATTAGAAGTGAATGTATCCCCTGAGCAGTGATAAGTTACGTAGTTTGAATTGTCACTTGATTAGCTTTTCATCCTTTGAGCTGATTTCACACCAACCACATTTTACCTGCTGAGTGTATACTGAGTTATTATTCCTTTCTATATATAGGCATGTCAGGACTTCCTCATTTTGAATCAAGCATTAAACTTTTTCCTTCCTCTGCTGTGTCTGGTTAGTGCCTTCTCATCTTTATTAATTGATTTGTCAGATTTGTCTATCTGCCAGTTCATTTCCTCAGCTGTGTCTCCAACAAACTACAAGATTTGACTTGGATTTCCTACCATTGCTTGGAAATCTCAAGGTCTAAAAACTGACTCTTTTATTCTTGTTATTTTAATTTAATTTAGAAAGGTCCTGTCACATGCTGAGAGAAGACAATCATATTTGACAAAGGACTAGAATCATGAATACATAAAGTATTTCTAGAACTAATTAAGAAAAGAAGCCAGTCACTAGAAGAATGAAAGGACAGTCTAAACACACTGGATATCTGTGTTGAAGAGAAGGAATCTTGAAAGGCCAACCAACCTGAAAAGATGTCACATTATAAACAACAAATGCAAAATGAAATCAGCATGAGATTCTGTTTCACATTCAATTAATTAGTGTGTATTAAAGTGTGACAATATCAAAGATTGTAGGCCAGTGAGTAATCTGAGACTTAGTAGACGGAAGAAATTTTGGAGCAATCATTTTGGGAAAAAAAAATTGGTGTCGTATTAGACATTTACAACCTGTGACCCAGTAAGTGTACTGCTAGTTATTTAGTAAGTGTATTCTGGAAGGTTTGACCAAATTGCCCCAAGAAACAATCCTTGGAACAAGAAAACACTGAAAATAACAATACTCACAAATAATAAAGTGGATATACTCATTGTGGTGTATTAATTCAATTGGTAACAATACACAGGAAATGAATAAACTGCAACCACATAAATCAGTGTAGATATATCTCAAATACATGACATTGAACAAAAATGCCACTCACAGTGTGGTTTCCTTTCTATTTAGAAGTCTATAACATAGCCCCTGTTTGAGGTTGAGTTGGACATTCTTTCTCCTTTATAACTGATGAATACTTTACATATAGTTCTATATATGATATGTTTTATGATTAGTATATAAAGAATTTACACGCCCGGTAACCATTCTTAGTGTTTTGAGAATACTCAGTTAAAGGTTCTTCAATGAAATTTTCTCTTGGTCTTGAAATTTAGGCATCCCACAGTGGAATAGAGTTAAATATCAATAAAATATTTTCCGAATTAGTATGTTCATTAAAAGTTCTGTTGAGTAGAACTTTTATGCCTCTGTTTAATACTGTTTTCATAAAAATTATGAAATAACCATGGCATTTTAAATATTTCACAAATAATGGTACAGTAATCCTGCAAAACCTCAACTGAGTAGGTAAATATCAAATACATATTGAGCTAAAAATGTATAGAAAAAATGTAGGTGGAGGTAAACCATAGACACTGTCTAGAATCCCAAACTTTGCTTTAAATTTGTATAACAATTTTGTAAGTATGGCCATTTTCACAATGTTGGTTCTTCCTTACCAAGAACAAGGAATGTTTCCATTTTCTGATAACCTCTTCGATCTCCTTTTTCAGAGTACTATAATTTTCAATGCAGAGATCTTTTACTTCTTTTGTTAGGCTGATTCTTAAATGTTTCAGTTTTCGAGTGCTATTGTGAAGGGTGTGGTTTCCCTACTTTTTCTCTCAGTGACTTTCTTGTAGGTGGCAGGAATATTGTGGATTTTTGAGTGTTGACTTTGTATCCAACTACACTACTAAATTTGCTTATTAATTCTAGAATTCACTTGATGGTGTTTGGGGGGTCTTTACTTATGTAGAGTATCATGTGTATCTTTCTTTTACTCTTTGAATTCTCAGTGAAGCTGAAGCCTGAAGTGAAATATGGTAGAGGTGTGGGCAGTATTACGAGGGGATCCTTAGGGATTGGCCTGTAAAGTTGAAAATAGGCTCATTTACTTTGTTATTTGCTTTCCAGTACCTGAAGTAGCTATAACAGTGATGTTGGAGGAATTCCATCAACTCATATCTTCGTGCAGATTGTAGGGCGTTACAGAGGTCGGAGCTTTTGTCTCTAGTATTCCAGGGTAACCACAAGCGGTTAACAACAAGCTGGGGCTTTTTTCCTTTCTCTTCTTTCATTCTTTAGTTTCCACAAAATTTGCTGAAATTCCATGGGACAGCTTGCAATTTTAATGCCAAATATGGTAGCACAAAATGAGTTAGACAGTAGGATGAAGATAACATGGTTGTGCCTTACTGGTGTTGCAAGATGAGGAATCCCTTTATTAAAATCAACATTGTAAAAACTGCAAAAATCCACAAAATAAACCAGAACTAATCCTAGAAAAACTTCATAAATATTTCTTGTATTGGACAAAAGTCTCAGATATTGGTCTTAAAAGATTTTATTATGTGTTAAAATCATCCAGAAGTAGAAATGTCTTTTAATGGCTTCTCCCATTCGCCCTGAAATGTTAAAGAAAATAATTCTAAAATATGGTAGCACTTCTTAGGTAGTGATTTGTTTTCCCACGTTTTTATTGACTAATGAAATTTGGTAAGCACTGTTGTTTAGAGAAACATCAAGAAATAATCAAGACGTAAAGTATAAAGCTCCAGAAGAGGTGGAAAAGTTAGGTTTGTTTATACTTGCTAAAAAGAAATGGGCACAGTTATTCCAGTAATAATAGTTGGACCCAATTACAGATTCCTACTGTTTTTTCATCTGTAATTTTTTGAAATTTCATGAAATTTGATGAAAAATGATTCTTTTGGGAAACATGGATCAACCTGAGTTGATTCCAATTTAACAATTGAATTAATTATTTAACTATGCACAAAGTATTTTTGTTTTTAAATGTTTTGGTAGGGCCCAATCATTTAGAGGAGCCCTGAAATCAAGTTATACAAGTCCAACTTTGTGACTTTGCAAAGTTCTGGGTTTCTATAGCTGGTCCGTGACTTGTTTCTGCCTATGTTCTTTGTTTAAAATTTCATCCCAATATCTCTTTGCTATTTTGTATGGAGCAATTGAGACAAACTTAATAAATGTCACACATTATTTTAGCCCAGTGATAGAGAGGGCAGTAGACTCTAGGAAGGGTAAGTAAGAAACATAGAAAAGAGGTACTCACAGCCAAGGGCTGTCATGCAGTGTCAGAGTAAAAATGTTAAACACATGTGCACAGCTCCTTTTGTTTTTCACTAAAGCAGTATTTACTACTGAAGATGACTTATTTAGGCTTTTACCTCAGCTTGTTTGTGAACTTGCAGCTCATGGAAAGAAACTTCTGAGGCTGCATTCATTTGGGTTGTACGTTTGATCAGTTATTATGCAATTTACTGATGATGTAATTTTGTGCTTCTTTTTCTCACCCATGCTGTCCCCTCACAACTGAAAATGAAGGTTGTTGTGTCCACTGCATCCTGGCGTGCTTGTTCTGTGAATTCCTGACCCTCTGCAATATTGTCCTGGGACAAGCTTCCTGTGGGATCTGCTCGTCGGAAGCCTGCTGCTGCTGCTGTGGTGACGACGTGGGGGACGACTGTAACTGCCCTTGCGACATGGACTGTGGCATCATGGATGCCTGTTGTGAATCATCAGACTGTTTGGAAATCTGTATGGAATGCTGTGGAATTTGTTTTCCTTCATAAATATTTATCTTTTGTTTGTGTTAAAACTGGAGAACATTTTTAAAATTTTCTTAGAAGCGGTTGAAAAACACATGGTAAGATTCTGTTGAAACAAGTCAGTATTTGCACTGTTCACTCATTTTTTCCATAATCCCTTTTTTTTCACCAATCTACATGGTTTAATATGTGAAAGTTTAACTACCTTTGCTGTTTTTTGAAACTTCTTAATGAATTGTACTAACTGAAATACATTTTGATACACACAAAACACACCAAAAAAATTTTTTTTTTCTTTGTCTTTTTGAGGCAGGGTCTCACTACGCAGTACAGGCTGGCCTTAGACTCACTCCAAGCTGGTCTCGAACTTGCAACGCTTCTCCTGCCTCAGCCTCCCGAGTGCTGGGGTTACTGGCATGAGCCTTTCTATTGATGTTTCTGTTCTTCTAACCATTCCCAGAAGTAAATTGCTCCAAATATGTTACTTCTCAGTGGGTATCGAGACCAGACCACTTACTTTTTAATATTTATGTGCTAGATGTTAAAATGAAGCATATTTAGTTTAAACTTTAGGGAACAAACTCATACCATACCTTGACATGCACTGTCACTCTCCATACTCCTTTTCTCTGCCTTCCTTGCTTGCTTAACAGATGCTGAATGCCAGTTCTGGCTGTTTTCTAGTCTAGGCCTCAGGGAACAAACGTCATTCCACCCTTGTTCATAGCAGCATTCAGTGTGGTATAGCCACAGACCATTAAGCAACAGTCTATACCCAAACCCGTAAGTGAGCATTATAAGAGAAAGAAAAAAAAGACCAAGTATAAACAGAGAGGAGCCACTAGAATATTAAGGAAGATATCAGGGAAAATAGGATGGTTGAGCAGACCTCTTAGAATGAGTGCTCCATCTGTACTTAAGTGCATTATTCAGATTTAGGACAAAGTTTTAGGTGCACAGCCTGAATTAGTGTGTAGAAAAATGGCTGCAGCTCCCTGTATTTTGGTTGTAGGAATACAAATTTTTTTAAACTATTATGTAAATTAGCCCAAGTATGCACTTGTATAATTTAAATGTTACAATAAATCTAATACCCTAAAATTAGCGATATTTTGTAGAAATATGGGCTATTTTTATAAATTTAATTTATCAAGAGTTATTTTAATATTAAAATCCCACTATTCTGATTTTGGATTTTTTTTTCAAAGGCTTTTGTTTTGAGAGCTTCATGTCTTCTAGAAGCCTGATGTCATCTGCCTGTTTTGGTCTGTTTCTTAACTATGGTTATACTTCATAAACACAGTTAACCTTGAATGCAAACCTTTCTTTCCAGTGTTGGGGGAACCCTGACATCTACCAGTGTGATCAAATTAAGTATTGCAATTTTAAGTTGCATAAAGCTCGTACGACAGATAATAAAATTCTCTATATGTGAAGATTGGTGGTAACTGCAAAATTAATTATATAGTTACAGAGTCAAAAGTATCCATAGCTTAGGGAAAAAGAACACCTTTTTATCTTATATGTTCTGTGAATTTAATCTCTCAAAAATTGTAGTTCAGTTTTATTATTATTATTCCTTGTAGAAATTTTGAAACTAGGGTTAACAGTTATTTTCAGTTTTACTGGATGATTATCAAACTGATAAATAGCAATAAAGTTATATGTTTAGGGATCCTTTAGGAAACCTAAACTTATAAGCAATTTTTAAAACCTGAATCGTGTAAAACCTATGGTTTTCTTTTGAGATGAAACCTAGTTTCCAGTTATACTATTATTTAAGGGCTTAAAACAAGAAAAAACATTAGGAAACTCTCAAATTAGTCTTTTAATGCTATTTACATATACATTTATACACCTCCTTAAAATTATTGGGTTTAAATACAGTTCTAAAGCATGCACACACACACAGTCTTTAAATTACTAGACTTAAACACACTTCCTGTAAACAGCTTTTTTTCTCTTCCTCTTCCAAAGAGCATCTTTGATTTGTTACATAAAATAGGATGAGAATCTCAGTATTCACATATACTCAAAATTAACCTATGCTTGTATATTAGGATATAAGAATAGCATCTACTCATAGACCCATAGAACTTGCTAATGATCTGGAATTGCTAGAAATTTGACCTTTTGTCTGCAGAAATTTTCAACTAAGTGGTTTTTCTGATATTTAAATATATGCTTCTGTTATTTGCAATGAAATTATTAACACATTTTAAATAATGTTTTTCTGTAATAGAACATTAATGAATACCAGAATTTTATTTTCATACTTACACACCTAATACTCTTCTTGATTTGACTACTTCAGGCAGTCATTCCATAAAGAATCTTGCATAATTAAACAGTTAAAGCATAAAAGTAGGCAAATGTGAAAATAGTTTCAATATATTTTAAAATTTCTGTATGTTAAACGTTTTATTGATTTATGTGACCATGATAGCTAAGTGCTATAGTTTTGCAGTTATGTATTTTGCCTCTTTTTAAATGTGGAAACTTGATTTTAAATATTTTCAAACTGGACCTGTATTATCATGAATATATTTTAAAATTTTAAAAACGACTTTTTTGTTGTGTGTCTTATTGTACTTCCATATCTAATTGACATAGTATTTGGCTTGTATTTGGATTAATTTAACAATTGTTTATAACCTCAGATTTTTCTTTATTTCTTACTCCTATTACATCCCCTTCTGGAGATTACCCATTTCCTTATGCAGTGCCCACAAGTGAATTGTGGAGAGAAGAACTGAAGAGATAGAACATTTTATAAATGAAAATCATAGTTGATATATGGTATCAAAATGCAATGCTCTTTCAAAAACTCACATATGTCAAAATACTAACTTCGTACCTTTTTAGTAGATTGATTTCATTTATTTACTTTGAGAAATTTTTTTGTCAAATAGAAGACAGCTTCTTTGAAGGTAAGCAGAAGGAGTATGTGAGAGAAAGGACAGACAGCTACTCTGGAGGAGTACAGAGTATTCAAAAGTGAATAATTTGAGAATTATATCTTAACATAATAATTTCATTTATTTACTTTGAGAATTATATCTTACAAAATTAAGCAAATCTTTATGCTGGGATTGATCATCAAGCAAAAAGTGCTCAGATGTATGAAATGGATATTAAATCTAGAAAATGTTACTTTCACTGAAAAGTAAATCATCAGAAGTATTTCCAGGTATTATTTTTAGTGGCACGATTTTTCAAAATATTTTGAGTTAGTAATTAGCATACAACAGTAGAACTCTTTCAAAAAAGGCTGTATTTGGAAAAATAATCATTTTGTTTTGTGCTCTTCCAACATTATTATCTGTATCCATTTTCTCCACCTGAACACTCAGTGTTATTTGTATAGTTCAAGGAGTAACCAAGGCAACCTGATGTACTGGTTTTCCATTCTTCATCCACAGAAACTCTTTCAGTATCCTAGATTCTAATGTTCTCAGTGTTAAACGTTACTGCCTGGCACAACAAAGATTTGAGCACAAGGCCTTAATGGTTTGCCTTCTTTAAAGGTAGTTAAATGCTTTAATTTACCCATCTTCCTAATGAACAATTCACTTATGAATAAGATTATTTTTGAAATTATTCAACACCTTTACATCCATTCCCTGTTGGATTGCTAGAGCTATGCAGAGATACAAAGTAAAATTTCATCAAAGACTGTGATACCCATTTTTATCTTCTGTTTATACCAGTATAGTAAAGCTTACCAGTTTCTTTTTAAACCATGTTTAATATATTTACTAGTTTATTCTCACCTTTACTATTTACAGTTTTAATTCAGGATTCAGTATTTTAAGGAAGATATTTCAACTTTTTATCTCTGCGCATCCCTATAACCAAGAAACTTGGAGGAAGTGTTTTCTCTCTGCTTGGCTTGGTACTGGGAGCTTGAAGAAAGTCACATAATCCTCAGAAAGTTGCAACCCACGAAAGAAGTTTGGCCCCTCCCCTGAGAAAATGGATAGCTCCACCAGTCAGGCTCCTGTTATTTACTTACCTATTAAAGATTGCTGTCAGAGGTTTTGGTTAAAATGGGAAGAGTTTGTGAAAAGAGAACAATGTTTTGTTGTTTTCTAATGTGGAGGGCAGGTTTAACAAATGTCATCATGGTGACTAAACGCACTGTCATTTCCACTGCAAACTTTGCAGTGAACAACGGACTCTGCCATTTACTTTAAAAGACTGTGACTCAAAAGATCACACATATGATCAAATTTTAATGAGATCAGTAGATTCTCTGGGGATTAAAAGATTATAAGCAAAGCCTTGGCTCACCTGCCACCTTCCCCTGCCCCAGAAAGTAGAGCCTCTGGGCAAGCTGAAATCTGTACACAATTCTTCATCAACCTGGGGCAGGATGTGTTGTTTTCTGTCAGGGTCATACTGGTGAGTATAAGTGCTTTCTGCCTTCTCACTGAACACTGAACTAATAGTTTTGTTTCTATTGTTTATTGTTTATATCCAGAATCCCTCACTTCATCCTATTAGTGAACCTTAAAAGAGAATCGTTTGTTTGTGAGGTGATTTTGAAGAAATCATTTTAGAAAACTGCCTTTTGACACATTGCCAACCTAGGTTACAGATGTGTGTTAAAGACAAACTAGAGCTTTTGTAATTAGGCATTGTTCTCTTCTAGGCAAGTCTTTTTGTGAAATGTAGTTAAGAATATAATTATTAGGAAAATGGTAAAAAAGAATTGAAACAAATTCTAAGTTTAGCTTGAAAAGTCGAGAAGGTTCTTAAATTCTCTCTGATGCATAAAAGGTAGAAGCAAAGGAATTGCATTCCAAAGCCAAGAAAGAGGGTGTACAAAAGCAGCTGATCCACTTGACATAGTTCATAGCCTTTTGCAAAGGAATAAAAGCCTGTTGAGCAGGGAACCAAAAGATCTCATTATAGAAGGAAGCCAAGCCATATTAAAGCTTGTGCACTAGTAACTATGTCTAAAAACAGCCTGCTGTTTTATATTGAACCAATACATTTCTTAACTTGGTAGGTTGCAGTGTAAAGATGTACAGAGCCTGTCTGCTGGATGCTATGCCAATTACAGATGTGGCAGAGTGGTGTCAAACACCTACAAACACTTAGTATCGCACACAATCTTAGAGTGAAACAAAAGGAGTTTTGAAATGTCACCTCAAAACCTAGAAAGCACAGTTCATCTTGTGTGTCTGACTCTGGGAGTTTTCAAATCACCTTTATTATATAATTTAATGTGGACGTCATAGGATCCCTCACTCGGAATGCACAATTCTTTCAAGGGCATGAATAGTGCCTGAGAGAGGAGAGTATCTTTCAAAGTAATACCTTCAGATGACAAGGCATCTCTGATCAACCCTGCAGAAACTGCATTATATTGGCATTGAGGTGCAGGAAAAGTGAACTACCCAAGAATACATATTATATTAGGTTTTCTTAGATCATCAGAAAGAATAATTGGGCATATTTACGCAATTACATTTCAGTAAACTATTATGCCAGTTTATAATACATATTCTGGCAAAAATACATTAAATTGCAATCCAAAAGCAATTTAGCTGCTGAAGACATTATTTTTTATCTAATTATTCATAAATTAATGAATAAAATTAAATTCCAATCACTGAAGAAAATGAAGCAATGGTGAGAATCAGAACTACAGATTAGTTAAAGCAAAGATCTGCAATGCATAACAGAATTAAAGCATTTCTTTTATTCAAACTCAGTGCTTAAAAAAGAACAAATCCATCATCTTGAAATTTGACTTGTAGCTTGACATTAAAAATAATATGAGTAGAATTTTCAGTGGGGTAAGCACAAAACTAGTTCAAGTTGTGTCACTCTCAATTACAGTACTCAGGAGGTGTACCCATTAAAATTCCCACTTGTGGGTTCCACTCACTATGCAAATGGGGTCATTACCTGGAGAATTTAATTGGTTATGACACTGGGAGTAGGATTTTTCCTTTCAAAATAAACCTACTTACACACATTTCACTAGGAATTTGATTTTTATGTATACTTTGGATTATTTTGTTCTATAAACACCTACTAAAATTAGACTGTTCTTGCATATTTATTTCTTGGGAATAATTCAATGGATACAAATTACTTTGATATGGTTTGTCTATAAGCTAGTGAGAATGAATCTTTTTAATATATTCCTTATCAAAACATTATAAAAGAAGTATATCTTTCAAACAACCTATCACATGTGGATACATTTTCAGTAAAGTCTTTTTTCTAGCATCTAATTATTATTTTCTCTTTCATAAATTTGACTTTTTCTCCATATTGTCACCTTGAAAAAACTTAGAGACCTAACACACTCTCTTAGATGCTTTTCTATGCTTGCACACACACAGACACATATATAATGTTACTGAGACACCATGTCTGTTAACAGAAGGTCTTCGTATTCACTGACAGGACAGAGTGGGGACATTAAGTTCTTTGTCTTAGTCAATATAAGAGATACTTCTTTCATAAGCCATGAAACTCTTGAATTTAAAGTGAAGAAACAACAACTTAGTGTAAAAAGTGCAGGATTAGAGGCATCTGACATGAATTTTTACTGATCATACATATTTCAACTGGGGAAACCTAGATTCTAACAAGAAAATTGGTAATGGCCTAAATTTACAATGAACACTGAAATTACAGAGTGGCTTGGTGTGTGTAATATTAAACTGAGCACCCAGGAATTCAATTCCTACACACAGACACTAATAGCAGTTCCCAGAGTGAACATGAAGCAGAAACATTTGCTATAACTATTAACGGGATAATCTCGGGGAAGCACTAACTGTTCCTTTAAAGAGAAGGGAGTGCAGTCTTCATTTTCATTACTACACCAAGTTGTACAACAGCCAAGGTTTTATCACTAGAGAATATTTTCCCTTTAATGTAAGACAAATATTCTAAAATCAGAGAAAAAGTAATTCCAAGGATATAGGAAAAAAATACTGCAAAATCACAACTGGATCATTGGGCAGAATTTTTAACATCTGTAACGATGGGAAATTTCCCATAGAATATCAAATATGGATCCAAGTCTCTGACATTCGTATTTCTATGATATTTCTAATTGTGCCCAGAGGATAAGAAGGAGTTGGCGCATCCAATAAATATAATGATTTACATGCACGGAGCTCCCTTTGAAGTTAATAGGACCTTTGGAAAGGAGAGTTATGCACCACGAAAGCAAAGTTTAGCGTGAATCTAGGTCTTTCTTTTTAACATCCAGTGGAACTGCCAATTCATTTGGATTTTCTAAGTGCTTATCTATCCCTTGTATATGATGTTTAAGTCGGTTTTGAGTGAAGTGCTACATGTGTAGAGGAAAGATAGTCATAAGGAGAAGCTGTGCCAATTGCCTGGTGCATACTCAAGGACTAGTTTTGTAAGACAGCATCGAAAAGTGGCAGGACTTGACATTTGTAGAGCTTGTTTAACTTTTGAAAAGAAGATCATAGCCACTGTCTTATTTGATCCTCATAAACATCATGATTGTTCCATTTTACAGATGAAAATATTGGGCGAAGTCACTTACATTTACTTCTTAAAAACACTACTAATTTCTGATAGCACTAGGAAATTTTTATTCCTAGACCTTTCCTTTAGATTGATCTATTTCTTATGAAATAACTTATTACTTAATAAAATAAATAGATTTAATCACTGTGTGGTACTTGAAGCTGGTTTGACTGTAAGATCTTATAATGAAAAGTTATAGCCACTTGTGTTACTTATCGATCACATACATTGACCCCAAACCCAGTCAACCCATCATAGGTTACTGTCTTTCACTAGTTAGCACTGGTGCCCATTTTTTTTCCTAGGCAGGTAAGCAGGGAAGAGTTAGATGTTCCTCATAAGACTGTGTGTCACGCATTCTTCATTAACCCTTCTCATTCTGCCTCTGCTTCTTTCTTTGCATTTTGCTTCCTGGTTTTCAGTGGACTTTGGTTGAAGGTAGGCACTAGTGGGAAATAAGAAAGTGAGAAAAAAGTCAAACTATGCATTCCCATTCTGCTCCTTGGTCTCCTTGTTGCTAGAAAGTGGTTTGACTCTTATCCTGTTCCCTCGGGTTTGTTCCCATATGTGGTAGCTCCTGGAGTGTAGCTGCGACTCCCTTCCCCTAGCTCCTCAGGTATGAGGGAAAAACTGGTTTCCCACTCTTTGTAATTCCTGTCGCTTCAGATTCTCTTGTTGGTTTCCTTACAACCCATTTTTCTTCTGCAAACAGTATTTTTTAATTAAGCCCCCTTCAATTAAGCTCTCTGAGTGAGCCAGTGTTCTAAAGAGGTAGTAAGGAAAAATAAGTTTGTACATGTGCAAATGCATGTGCTGTCTGAATCCAATCTTTTTGTTATATTTTTCTAAAATTTAACATCTCTTGGATATTTGTTTCTCTTTACTAGGACAGTGACTTAAATATAGGAAGAAGTACACATGACACTATTAACACTTTCCTGTTTTGGTTCAATGATCACCCATATCCGATGCTATCATTTGACACTGTGGCAAGTAGGGAGTGGTTGAGGCAACCAAAAAGGGTATGCAAAGTTTATGACTGTGTTTACAAGCATAGCTGTGGGGTACCCAGGGGTGACAAAGTTTCCTTTTGTTATAACCTGAAATTAACATCATTATCAACATAGGCAAATGCACAACAAAAATCCCAGTTTGGAAGTTCATCCACCCCAGAAAATGTCATTTTGGATGATTTTATATCTATGTAAAAAACGGTAACAAAACAAGCCAGCATGACAGTGACATATCTCTAGATACCAATACTTCTAACCTAAAGAAGGTCCAGTGTGAAGCCTTAGATTTCAGCTCAATTCTGTTAATAAATGTGTAAGAGTTTAATTGATGCTTCAAATATTCATCCAGTTAGTCAAGAAGTGTCTATTGGTCATTTTTTTTTTTTTTTTTTGGTTAGATTTTTGTGGTGTGGATAATGATAATGGATGTCTCAGTTTGGAGACAGAAAATGTATATTAATTAGAACTTAAAAGTTAGAATAGAAACAGATATAATTGTTATGAGAGTAGAAAGAACAAAGGGAAGAGACTATCTTTGAGAGTGAGGAAGTTTCCCCAGAAGAGGAAACAAACTAGGGTGTGGAGAAAGTTGCCATTCACACATGCCGGCTGAAGCTGCAGGGATGCTGGAAGGGTGGACTGAGGGAGAGATGAGAAGAGAGAGGTGAATTCAGCAAGGGACACCTCAATGCTTCGATGAAGATTTTTTTAAACTCTGTCCTAGAGACTACGTTAAGACTTCAAAGAATTTAATCAAGGATAGAAAAAAATTCAACTTGTATTTGATATACCTTTTAAGGACACAGTATGGATAATGATATAAACTCAGATGAGCAGTCAAAAGAAGGTATGCATTCAACACACACAGAGGTTGGTGACAGACAAGGCACTGGCTCGAGGGACAGACGTGGGCAAGAGGACTGAATGAAGTGCATTTCTGGGAAACAGTTGAAAGACTGTCTCAGGTGAATGGGCATGTTAAATGTGACCACTTATTTACTTGCAAAACCAGCCACGTGAATGATAAATTAAAGTTTGGTCCATGAGAGTTTTAAAAAACATTCATGTTTCTGGTCAAACAAGTCATGTTTTCCACAGCATGATAATGGATTTGAAAGTGCTTTGTAGGTGGTGAAACCAATATTAGAAACCTACATGATAATTCCTATTAGAGTTTATGTGGTGCCATTTGTAGCGTATGTGGTGTACAGGTAGGAGAGTGAAATCATCCAGTTCTCTAGTTTGTCAGTGCAGTATTTAAGCTAGAATGTAGGGGAGAAAAAGAAGAAAAAGAGCAAAGAGACATGGACAAAGAACACCAAGAGTAACCGGCATATGTGAGATGATGAGGTACGTGTTGACTGAGTTAATGAGCACACACACACACACACACACACACACACACACACACTTGCATGTGTGCATATACTTGTAAGAATATATACATGCAAGTGTTTGTGTGTGTGCATGTAAGATATGAGTAATTTTAAAAAGCATAGTGGGATATGTAATAATAAACACACTGAGTGAGGAAAGAATAAATTTCTACCTCTCTGGCTTAACCTTTTGAGCTAAATCGACAAGTCATTAAACATTTACTGGTTACTAACTGATTGGTTAAATGAATAATTATATGACTGGATTAATGAGTAAGTTCAGTTCCCGTCATAAGTCGTAGGCACCATATGACTCAAATCTCTTTGATTGGTCACAGCAGTACTAAAATTAGTAAGTGTGCTTTTCAAAGTTCTATTCTTGCCAGCCTTTTTCTTTTTGTGGCACCTGATTCAAATTCTCAGTTGAGCATGTCCCAGTTTCTGTGTTAGTCTGAGAGGGTGTTTACTGGCCCTGAGAGGTTACCTAATTTGCCTTAAGTTCTGTGCATCACATATTGTGTTTCCTCAAGCCTAATAAAATGTCCAAGCCTGTTTTAACCATTTTATTTTTACATTAAATGACAAAATGGTTATGGCATGAAATTCTGCTTTTTTAAAAAAACAATTACACTAAAATGAAAATACTTAAATTTGCATTGCGAATACTAATGAAATTTCAAGGAGTTCAGTAAGGAAAATTATTAATAATAATAAGGAAAAAGGGCAAAAGGCAGCCACATTTTTTTTTTTTTGGCCTTCGTTATAGAAGCTGATACTTGAAAAGGAATCACAGTATAGTTCACCAGGCAGAAATTCAATTTGCATCTGGACACTGGATAATCAAATAGGATCTGAGGGCTTTTATCTGTTCATGCAAATATTTATTTTGAAATAACTGTTAAAAGTATAAAGGTGAAGTAATGGAAAACTGAACTATAATATGAAAACATAAATGTGCCAGATTCTGCTTTGTTTTTGGTAAACACATCATAAAGCAATTGTCACCTGCTGAGGTTTTTCATTTATTGTAAAGTAAAAAGTTTCCATTCATTTGGATTACATTTTCTTTTAAGTGAAATGTTGTTTAGGTGCTTAGAGCTAAAACAAGATAAATTGTATTGAAGTATGTAGGTGTTATAGACATTGAGGCAAAAGATCATAAGAATGATCTATATAATCATTTCTTTTTTAAAGGAGACCATTTATGTGGGTAAAATGACCATTTCCATGGGGGCAAAGTTAATATCATTATGCTTTCTTAAAGCTGAACAACTGTACAATTTGAAAAACATCAAATTGCATAAATATCTTTAATGAAAAAGTTCATGTTTTCCTACCTTCGTTAGAAAATTCACACTATTTATACGAGGGCAGATCTATCTTCAAATTTTTCTAAATGAAAAGAATGGTGGTAATTACAGGCCAGGTTTTCATTAATAAAGTATTATACTTGCAAGTTTTACAACTAGAGGTAGCAAGGTGGTTGTCATATACTATAATACACACATTTTGATTGTTACAGAGTAGACATCTGCCAGAAACATTTCAGTTTAGCATGATGAATTTACCTTAGCCCTGTCAAGAATCACATTACAATCACATTACAATATTATATGTTGAAAAACAGAAATAAATTTGTTGAGATAGGGTTTCAAATCCCTCGGGATCCTGTCATTTCTGGCATTGTGGCTAGGCACATAGGAGCTCAAGTTACTCAGTGTGGGATTTACCAATAGTGAATGTCACTCATTTAATAAGATTTGCGAAAGAAAAAGATCGGTGACTATGGGTGACTCAAGAAGTTTATCAGCATCACAGCAAGGATTTTAGCATACTCAATTTCCACAAAAGTAAAAGGATATATAAAGCGTAATCCCTTTCCAAACCACTTAAACTTACATGAGAAGTTGCTTATCTGCAGCCTTTTTGTTTTGTTTTGTTTTTGTTAATAGTAAACTTTTCTAAAAGATTTAGTCAAATTTTATTTGCTCTATTTGTCTCAAAATACTATTATACCCCTTGGCCAAATAGTCAAATTTACTCTTTTCTTGTGTGTTAAGTACACAGATACTGAGATGTAGATAGCAAGAGACATAAACAGCAAATTCCTGGAAACTAATTCAGACGTTATTAACATGAACATTTGCAGTGATTTCAGGGGCCAAGCTAGACAGCCGCCTCCTCTACAGTATGCCTTAGGAATATCAGGAAACTTTGCAGTAATTTCTTGAAAGGCCTGGTATTCTATCAAGAATTTACTGCATATTTCAGAAAGATTTTATGGTGTCGACATAACCACATGGTAGGCTTCTTATATCCATAGCAACTTTTAAAGTCTAAGATGTGGAATAAAGACTACTGCCTTAATAATACCTAAGGAGCACATCCATATAGGCGAGACTGTGGGCAAGGTTCACAGTTTAACTACCATAAAAATTAGCTGCCGCTTTCATTTGAGAAATGTGGCAGATAAAAGCAGTTTCAATATTCCACCATTGCATTAATGTAGATGTTGTACAGATACATTAAATTTTGCTCTCTCAACACCGTGCTCTAAGAAACTAGTGAAAGTATTATGTTTGCATGAGACTGATTTGACATGTAGTCTGGGAAATATATAAAATGTTAGATTTTTAGAGGACTTGACTTATGAAAAGTCATATTTGAAAGAGTGTGGAATCAATTCTCAGGGATAGTTTATGGTCTAGAAACTCCTATTGGGAGTGACTAGTAGGGATGTGTGTAATGGGAGAAACTGGTAGGGGTGTGTGTGTGTATTCTAACAAAAGATATATATACTGAACTACACAATACTAAACTTCATCAAGGGAGAATAAAATTACATCATTACTAAGTTTATATTTGCAGCATGTCTAAAATAGTCTAAAAATCATTTTGATCCTATTTTCCAGTTTATATTTTGTGCCTTCTAACTCAGAAATACAGATTTCTACCTTAAACTGGTGAGCTACATATGTGTATGAACACATATAGCTATATATACATATTTGACCATAATGACCTATAAATGACCAGAAATCATTTCAAATTTCTGATGTGAAGAATGTTTGCTAATATTCTGGTATCAGAAGCTGACTATAATATTGACATATGAATTCTAATTCTCACTTCCAAGAAGAGAAACTGATGACAAAATCACTCACATAAACAGAAAACATGGACTGGCAGAGAGCAAATAAATACAGTTATTCTCTACTAAAGAAATATCAGAAACCACTGGCAAAGTATCAAAAGAGGATTCATGGAATATCAAATTGTGATGCAACAGTCTATCACATCACTGCCAAATCATTGCAAAATTTCATGTTAATAGCTTCTGAATTAGTTTCCAAGAATCTGCTGTTTATAACTCTTATTATCTACATTACAGTATCTGTATACTGCACAAGAAAAGAGTAAATTTGACTATTTTGACACGGGGTATAATTGAAAGAATCAAAAAAGAATACTGTACTTGTGGGGAAGATATTCTTTTATTAGGACTGTGGGAGACCCTTTTTCACAGGAATTCAGAAAGGTAAGACATCATAACTAGTCTGTATCCCACCAACTTATCTCCTGTAGTAAAATGAAAAAGGGCTTCAATTTTTGCTATTTACCTGCTATAGTCTTACGAGAGTAATTAACATTATAAATCAGAACTCCTATGAAGTTGCTTGAGTTATGAGGCACATTGAATTTTTTATTGTTGAAAGTTTCAGAGACTTTTTGGCAACATAATCCTGCTACTTCTGGTGTTTTGCCTCTGGCTTTTCATTCAGGTAAATTATGAGACTCTTAAACCAACATTCAATAGTCTTTCTGAGACACAGGCATACCCAGAACACCAAGATTTTCAAAAGGGAAATGATAGTTTATGAAGTGTTTCTAAAAGAGGGAATAATTTTTAAATCACTGAACATTATTGTGTACATCTTGCCTTTATGTGTGCAATAATTTTAAAGAATAATTTGAAATGATGAACTAAACTGATCCGGAGACACTAGTCATTTGTGAAAGGGCAGTGTTGTGTTTGTTTGTTTTGTTTTGTTTTGTTTTTACATTTAGCACTAATGTCCTGGAAATATTTTTTTTTAATAACTTCCTTGTATTTGAACATTGCCCCTATCATCTGTACAGTACCTTTCTTTGCATTTTATCTGTGGACATTTTTCTCCATATGACCTCTGTTTTTACTTTTTTTTTTTGAGACAGAGTCTCACTCTGTAATTCAGGCTGGAGTTTAATTATGTAGCCCAGGTTGCCCTTAAACTCATAGTGATCCTCCTGCCTCAGCCTCCTGAGTGTTGGGATTACAAGTGTGCACCACCATGCCTGGCTTTTACTTTCATATTTAGACCCCATTTTTACTCATCCCTCTTCACTTCTTCCAAATTACCTGGTTCTAAATATAGTGTCCTCAGTCCACCATCTTTTTCCAATGCTTTTGTTCAATGTTCGTGGCCCTCGCGATGTGCTCAGGACCATTGAATTCAGTCTGACATGGCCTTAAGTGGCCCCTTTCTGAAAGGAACTGGGAAGAAAAGATAGATTAGGCTGCCGCATTCATGAAGAGCACAGTAGACTGACGGAATAAAAAGCTGAACAAATCACTAAAAGACATTGTGAGACCACAATGTGAAAACTGTATAGATGTAGGAAGAACAGACATTCTGATAGAAATGTCATTTGAAAGATGATTTCAGGCAGACAGGAAAGAAGAGAGAGGGCTATTCACGCAGGAGGAACAGTACACCATCTATACATCGGCAAACTGGCCAGAAACAGTAATTCCCAGAACAGAGACTGTTCAAGTTGACTGAAAGCAACCTAAACAGGAGGGACCAGATGGAAGATGACGGAACAAGGAACTGTGGATAAACTGTACAAGTTTTATTGGTTTTGTTTTTATTTGTTTTTGCTTTTCATGTCAGGCTGATCGTTCAGATTTCGTCCTAGGTGTAACAATTTTAAGCAGGAAGTGTCAGTTTCAGATTGTGTCTCAGGAGGATACTTTAGGAAAATAGAATAGAAAAACTAAAGAGGACAAAGAAAGAAGACCGAAAGCAAGATGGAATACGACTGAAACTAGTGAGAGGAGAGAGAATGGGTAGAACTCGGGCTGTCAGGGCTGTGCTTACGGGACTGGAGAGAAGTGGGTTGGGAGGTTAGAGTAAGCCCTCCAGAAGTGGACTGATGACCAAAGAGAAGGGACAGGGTCACAGAATATGAGAAAGAAGACAGAACCAAGGCTGTCACCAAAGTTTTTCTTCCTTCTTTTCATTCTTTCTTTTTTATTTTTATTTTTTGTAGGTATCAGAATCGGACTCAGGACTTCATGCTTGCCAGCATGCGCTGTGCCACTAAGCTGTATTCCTGGCCCCTTATATCTATCTATCTATCTAGCTAGCTAGCTAGCTATTTTTTGAGGACCTGCTTCATAATAATGTCGCCAATAAGTGGAGTGTGTTAGGAATGATGTCACCCTTCAATATGGAATTTAAAATGTTCAGGTATTGAACATGAAAATAAAGGAGATTATAAAAGCAATTTGGAGAGTTGTTTCTTTGGGATGGAATTTCCCTCAGAAAGGGTCTGGAGGAACAGCGTGCACTCAGGTTATTTGAGAAGTGATCCTCGGGACCCTACTGACCAGGTAGGACATTGAGGCCAGGTACATTATGGAATATATTAAAGAATGTATTCTACAGAGTTACAGGTGACTGCTTATCTACAGAAAGAGAAAAATAATCGGACACTTGATTTAAAGAGGAGTGGGATAATGACAGCTCTCCTGACTTCAATCTCCAGTGTGCAAAAATAAATAAACAGTGATACTGAAGTCACAATGGGCAGTGGAATTCAATTCTACCAGGGCCCACTTGGAAGACCACAAATTGTTCCCTGGAAATGTGCACACAAAGTACAAGAGGGAAAGATCGTAACACATAAATTCCTACACCAAAGCCCCAAATTGACCCCAAGGATGCAGACATCCCTTAAGTTCAACCAGCACTTAATCTGACCACTTAACTTTCCTAGTCATTTGAGCTACATCTGCTGATACAGAAAACTCACAAGGGATACCTGACTAAGTTTGGTCACACGGCACTGGCCATCTCATTCATAGCTGAATGCAAAGTTGGCATTTGGAAGAAATGAATTAGACTACTAATGTCTGCTCTGAGGAGCACTTACAAGTGCTTGTTGAAGCCACTAGACTTGATAAGATGACTGATACAAACACACATTCCCAATACCTAATGATATGGCCAGGTCTCAGTGTGACTCCATATAAAGTCTGAGATACTTTTGTGTTTATTTCTATAGATGATTTTCTGGGAAATAAGTCCACAACTTTTATCCGACTCTCAAAGGCACTCTGGATCCAGAAAAGTGTGATGAATACAAATTTGGAACAACAGGCATATACCAAAAGAAAAGAAATTTTGGGAGAAGACATTTAAGAGTCAGAAAAATAATTGGAAAAGAGGTAAATGTTCAGGTTTTGCAATCATAATGAATTCCAAAATGCTCTCTAATTCACTGACTGTGTCATTTGAGCAGGTTATCTCGTTCGCTGAGCCTCATTATCCTCTTCTGTAAAATAAATAAAATGTAGATAACACAAGTCACAGTGGTGCGGTGCCCATAAAATAGGAAATGAGGACAAATTATGTAGGATAAAGTAAATGCTCATTAAATGAGGAAGTGTCAGAAAGACAGAAAGATAACCATGGAGACGGTAACACAGCATTCCAGAAAAAAATAAACAAGCAAAGGGGTTCTAATTAGTTGAATAAAAAGAATATTGAAAAGTTTATTAAATTTCGATGACTTTGTCAAGAACAATCAAAATACACAAGATTGGGTGGAAAAGTCAAGAGAGTAGGACATGAGGGGCTGAGACATTTTGAGACCAAAGCGGACTCACAAAAATCATATCTCAAACTTAGCATCAAGCTTTTCATAATACTGTATGAGTAACCTTAATTAAGAAGCACAGGTGAAACAAAGATAGGCCACCCGTGTGGGTTTCCAGGTCTTTCCTCCTATAAAGCATGTAGTATTTCTACCCCAGAATCATAGATTAGACTTTCAAATAAGGACTTGCTGTGCTATGTTACAAAGTCACAGCACCTAAGTTACAAAACATCTCCATTCTACGAAGAACAGAATTTTATAATTTAAGGAGCTGCATTTCATAGACACATAGATCCTAGAATCTCTTACGATAAACTGTCTTTTACTCAGGAAATACTGCTAAGAGAACGCTGTGCATTAAATTTCATTCTCCTAGCGAATACTGTTAGCCATGGAAGTCCAGATGACAAAGAAATTATAATTTTCCATGTAATTTTCCTTATTTTCTTTCACATTGGCACAATTCACCTGGAGATTTAATGAACTCACTACTTGAACCAATTATTTGAACCCCTGTCCTCAATACCCACTGTGCCCCATGCTCTAACCCAGAGATTCAAATACCATTGATAAGCAATCGCCAATAATTATTTGATCTCTATTTTGTCAAAATGTTCGTTAAATATTTACATTCATACTTTGCCTGAATGTTGGATTCAAAACTGGGCTCATGATGTACATAAATATATAAAAAAATACATACCTAGGCATGTATGAATATGTACATAGATTCAAGACTTTTTCCTTAACATACATTTTAGACATTTTACCATATAATTTAAGGGGGTTTCACTTCAACCTTTTAACAATGTTAATGACTTTGAAAGATATGTGTATGCTCTATTTGCAAGTTAAAAGCTTGCAAGTTAAAAGCTGTTCTGCCATATTTCATTGATATTTGTAGAAAGACATATGACTCATGGTTTAGTAATAAAGAATTTTATCACTAACAACTATAGCAATTTATTCAGAGTATCAACATTTGTTCCAGCTCCCTAAATTCTGTTCTCCACAGAGTACATAAAGAGAGACAGTAAATGCTTGCATATGCACAAAATCAGGGTGCTCAAATTTTGGGAACCCAAATCTTTTCTACTGGCAAAAAATAAACAAGATTTGACTTCTGTCCTGAAGGAAAATATTGTGCCTCTTATACCTCAGAGTAAGCAAACATTGTGGTGCAGAGGGAAATTCTATCTCTGTCTTCCCAGTATGTTCACTGCACAAACATCTCGGGGTAACATGGAGCATGGACAGCCAATATCGCAGTTGAGTTTGGGCTTGGCTATAAGTTACCTCCTGCTTGCTGTAATCAAGGTTTGCAAAAAAGAGGTTTAATATAGGTCACATAATTTGTAGAACTATTTTGTAGTATACACCCAAAAGGTCAAAGGCAGAAGAGTACAAGAGATCTTTCCACGTACTAGAAACCCAAAGAATCTAGCTGAGGGTCCGTATCCCATAGCAATGTCCGGCATGAGTCCAGCTGGGGGCCTAGAGCTCCCAGCACTGTCTCATGCAGGTCTGCATCAAGGATATGTACTAGGAAGGCTCCAACACCAGTGGTAGGAGTTAGCAAGTGGAGTTGGCAAGCCTGTGCTAGGAGGGTGAAGGATCTGTCTTGGAGCCAGGAAGCAATACCCAAGGTAAGGACTAGAGCTCCCCCAAAAGAACCGCAGCCATTCTTAGTGACAAGGAGCTTGGCTCCTCTGACAATAAGAACAGTTCATATCAGGAAAGCCAGCATGACGAGCTTCTCCAGGAGAACCAACAGCACTATCTTTCCTTCTAGTTCTCCTTTTGCGCTGTTGTCAACAATCCTCAGGTGGTCCTTCCACACCTGGCCCCAAAATTCTGTTGTAAGAATTAGGATCAGCTCATTATGCATTCTATGATATCTTCATTGAGTTACAGTACATCAGCTTTATGCATCCTGACCTGCATCTGAGATGAGGTCTGATGACTGAACCCAGGGTCGCACCTGCATTTATGGTTTAATGTGTCTTTCTTGTCTCTGCCACAGAACTATGTAACTCTCTTCTAACCCCCTCTTCTTGTACTTTTCTTCTACCTCTTCTTCCTCCTCCTATTGTATTTTGTTTTCCACATTGCTATGTATTTGGAGCAGAGGAAGAGCTCAAAAAATAAACTCACATTGCCATCCTGACTGGAAACAAAGATATTGAAATGCATGGGATGTAATTCAGTCACAAGACAATACTGTGACACCTAAAGGGTTAGAGTTAGTTTGGAGTTTGGTTCTTCAACTTCTCTTTGGAAAGCAAAGGTATACTATTGTTATGAAACTGTTGATTGTATTTCCAACCCCAAACTTTCTTTCATGCCCTAATTATTTGATGGCTTTAAAACATTTCTATGTTTGCCATATATCCAATATTATTTTCAGCTCTACTAAGTTACAGTTACTCAGAATGTTTTCCCAGCTTTCTGAGAACTGGGACAGTGGGGCAGGGAAGATAAGGAATTAGTAGCTTGTAAGTGTACCAGTTTCCAACATTAAAAATTGAAAGCTATTTTTTCAGGCCAATTACAACAATCTCTGGATCAAAATTTTTAAAAATTAAAACAATAAGGAATAACAATGAGATACATCTCAGAATGCAAAAAAAGTTTTCATCATTGGAATTTTGGAAACAAAGAAACCCACTTGTCTTTTAAAAAATATGGTAACTTAAAACACAGAAGCATGGCTTGTAATTTTCTATTGTTTTTTATAAGTGACGTAAATCATAATTCTTTAAAAAAAGATTTCAAAATTTGAGTAGATTCTTAAGCACAATTAATGAAGGGCAATGCAATCAGACCTTGAAGGACTTTCATTTTGAATAATATGTGTTTTTTATTGAGATTATCACTTATCTGGTAAAGTGAACTAAAATTAAATATATATATATAGATAGATAGATATGTACAGATATTTATCTATATATAGGTATATCTATCTATATTCTATAGGTATCTATCTATAGATATATATATAACAAACTTACATAGTCACATAGAAAAAAATTACAGAAATGTCAAAATTATGTCCTTTAGCTAAATGTTTATCTTAAAAGGACTAAAAATCTCTTTCTTGTCTGTTTTTGTGTTTCATAGACGGATAAAAATAATGCCCTTCAGAAGACAAAATCTATTGAGAGATATTTCTAGCAAAGAATCTTTACTGAAATTATGAGATATAAAATTTTTAAGATATAACAGTCAAATGGCTCTTGAGATGTAGCCTCATTCTGATACTTAACCCATATTTTTTTGAATCTTTCAGAACATTGTAGTGTATAGAAGTATAAAATCAAATTTTTGAAAATCACACTGCTGAGAAACAGTTTTGAAAACAAACACAGAAATTTTTCAACTAATTTGTTTTGCAAAGAAAAGACATTTTTAAAAATCTTCAGTTTTAGTAAATAATATCAAGACTTTTGAATGATCTTATAAAATTAATTGATGATCCAATGTTAAAACATAATATAGAAACCAAGTCTTTATTTTTAAGAATATTTCATTCTAGGAAAAAGAGAAAAAGCAAATACACCTGTTTAGATGTCAAGTGGAAAAAAATACAAGGTTAATGGACTAGAACTGCCTGAGTGGGATGATTGGTCATTATACAGAGGGGTAAAAGTAACCTTTCTGCTGTGTTAAACCAGAAGAATGTAAGTGAATAAGCCATTCTGCTTATCTGTCAGAAGAATGTTCCCAGCAGAGTAAAAAGCAAGTGCAAAGGTCCTGAGACAGAGATGCTTAATGTAGTATAAAAACTGTCTGGTGTTTTTCTTGACTGAAGAGAAGTAAACCAAGGAGATACTAACAGGGAAAGACATTAGAAAAATGTCCTTTAAGAACCTCCTGTGCTCAGAGGCAGGCCTTTTGGAAGCTGTTCACCTTAAATTATTGGGGTGCTGTATCTGACTACTGTTAGTAAATGAAGCCTGGTTCCTGACAGGATGATAGGGGTGTGGCCTGAAAGGACACAGTTCCCTCCACAGCTCCTCCCTTCTCTCTCTGCTTCCTACAGGCCATGATATGGTGGGTAGCTGTCCTGTATCAGACCCTTTCACCATGCATTCCTGCCTTGAGCTAGCCAACTGTGGAGTAAAACTCTAAGCCAAAATAAGCCTGTCTTCCTCTGAGTTGTGAGTGTTGGATATTTCATCCCAGGCAGAAGGATAGTGAAGTCTGTGCCTGTCCAGAGATTTTAAGCACTTTGGCTTTAACTTTGAGTTGGACAGGGCATTAAGTAGATTCTGAACTGAGGTGTGTGATATGACTGGCTTTCATCTCCCTCAAAAAAAAAAAAAAAAAACAATTTTTTAAAAAAGTGTGAAAGCAAAGAAAAATTTTAGACTTACTGGAAAGTTGCTGTCCTAGTCCCTTTTATATCACTCTGACCAAAATACCTAACACACATGATGTGAAGAAACAAAGAACTGTTTTGACTCACAATCTCAGAGTTTCAGTTCAGGTTCAAGCTGACTCCGAGGCGAAAGTGGCCTGGTAGAGGAGAGCGAGCACCTCCTGGCAACCAGGAAACACAGACAGGAAGTGACAGAGAGGAAGGTGTGGGAACAGGTTTTACCCTTCAAAGGCACACAGCCAGTGATCTACTTCCTCCACCTAGGCTCGCTCCACTTCCTGTTAGCTCACCTAGCTGCGAGCTTATCTGTGGATCAATCCATTGATACAGTTAGCAGGTTCAAAGTCCAATCACCTCTGCTTGCATCTCAATCAAATCAAATTGAGAACAAATCCTAAACAGCAAGAAATACCAAGGAGAGTTCCAGTTTATCTCTCCCAGTGTCTCTCATTGTTGACATTTTATGTAATGTACTCACCAAAGCTAAATAGCCAAGATTACAAATAGTCACATTTATAGCTATTTGAATTTGGTAAATTTCTCCATTAAGAATGTACTACATCTATTTAAGTTGGTCTGGCTACTCAATCTCCTCTGGTCTGTGACAGCGTTTAGTCCTTCCTAATTTTGTATGACTTTCACAATTTTGAGTAGTAATAACAGATTTTTTGGTAATGTAGTTGATTAGACAAAAGGGAGGATGCTTGGTAGTATGGTCTTTAAAAAAATACTTTAGATTAATGTCATCTGATAAAAAAATAGAAATGGGAGTAGAGAAATTGCATATACTCTTTAGGAATCCTACCAGAGAAATTCTCCAAGAGGAGGTTAGAGATATACAGTCTACATACAGTATTCCTGGGAGTCCACAACAGATTTGTAGTGGGTCCACAAGACAGTTATGCTAAGAGATTGTATATTTCTAGTGCTGAAGCAATGGTAAGTAATGCAAAGTATTTATTTCTTAATGCAAAATATGATGTTGGCACCAAAACTATGCAAGCGGTTGTCTTTTGAATTGGAACAAGCTGATGTTACAAGAAAATGCCATTCTCAGTTAAGAATGTCTTTGACAGAGCAGCAATACTGATTAGATAAGATAAAATCTTGGTACTTTGGCACAAGACTTGTGGTTTGATATAACTGGTAGAACATTTCTGCATGCTTCAGTAGGATGGCTGTCTCGAGGGAAAGCACCTGTATGACCGAGTTATGTGAACAAGTGGTCTTTTTCAAATGTACCAGTTTTACTTGAAGAAATTACTAATAGACAAAGCATAGTTACACTTGAGTATATGGCAGTATCATCTGTAAAATGATTTAAGTAAGTTTGCCATTTCAAAGACTTACTGCCACTATAAATAATATGCATTCAATTGAAAAGCAGAATATTTAAAAACTTGTACTTATTAGTTAAAATCATCTTAACAGCAAAATTGACAAAGATAGTGATGAGTACAATTCAGAAAATATTTCATAATGAAAAGTATTAACATTTGGAAGATATGTGTAAGTCAGAACCAAGTATCACAAAGACCAACAAGTGATGCTCAACAGGATTATCCAAAGGTAAAAGACTGCTTAAAGTGGAAGGTGGGCCAATGGATTTTAATGCAAGAGTATGAAAATTTATTCACATAGCTTCAGTCCTAGATACAATCGATCATTACGGAGAAAAATACAATATTTTTGCATTATGGAACATCAAAAAAGTTCACGATTATTAGAACAAGCTATTCTCTCTTTTTTTTTTTTTCTTTCAGCATACGTACATGGAGCTGTATTTTCTTCCTGTACTTCAAAGAAAACCTCGTATTGCCATGGGGTGAATGCAAAAGCAAATACTAGACTGATTCTTCTCTATTAAATCAAACATATATGCCAAAATGTAAAACAATGAAACTTATTAAACATTTTTGTTTAGGGAAACATTTTTGTTTATTTTTCACCAAACTGTATTTGTGTTCCTAGACCATGAATTTATTGCCATTTTATTAAATTATTTAATAAATTGCTTTTAAGTTTGTTTTGGTTTTAACTTATAGTAAGGGAACTATGAGTATAATCATCATCAATAAAAGTTTTTGGAGTTTTCAGGGACTTTTAAATGCATAAAAAGAAACAAAAACTAAACATTTGAGAATTATTACTCTAAAGAATAGCACTGTCAGGTCATTGTCTTTTATACAAATTTTAGTGATATTTTAAGCTTGAAAGCAAAGGAAAAAATCATTATGAAAACATAACTGACAATTCACAAAAAATAACAAATACAATTACAAAATGTACAGTAATTATTACACCAAGCAGACAACTGGGGACATAGATGCAGTTAACTTGAAGATGTAATGTTTACCATTCACAATAAGACTACCTATGTATTTTTAAAGAAAAGCCAATTCTTAAACTTATGGAATGCCCTCCTAACTCTCTTGCTCTTCCTTTATCTCTCAGGAAAATACACAAACATAAAATATTAATTATTTCTAATTGGTGTGCTTTGGTTACTTTTCACAATTTTTGTCTTTTTTTATAGACCACATTTCTCCATTTTCTATATTTCATGCCAGGATGCTTTCTTTAAGAGTCTAGAAGTTATACAACAATGTAGTATATTATATATAAAACTGTTAAAGACACACAGTAGCAATTTTTGGTATATTTATAAGTGTCTGTGGTTATTAGCAGTCTACTTTTAAAACCTAAGAATTATTTGATAAAAGAAAATTTAAAAACATTGGTTTAAACAGATTTATGTAATAAGTATTGATTTGTTATTCTTGTCTTCCTTGTCACTGCCTACTATGACAAATCAAAACTTTAATTTCTTGTTTCAAATGATATAAGATTTTGGCCCACTATGTGAATCATAAAAGAATTAGTATTCATTTTTAAAAACATTTTAGCTATTTTCATTTTTATTTTAGTGCAAGTTGATAAATGAGAAAAAACATTTAATTTTTAATTCTATGCTTTATTTACAGGCTGGCATTTCAACATTTCCATTATTTCCCACAATTAAAACTTTAAAAGATGAATTTAAGATAACATAATACATTTTATTTTACCTCTGTAATGAAGTCCATAGTAGTATATTTGCTTGGCAAACCATGAAATCTACTTGCAGTGAGTTGTACCAGATAAAATACTGGTTCATTTATGATTTTTTTTTCAGTTTTCTTATAAAAGCAATCATTAACCATACTCAACCAAATTTCACCAAATTCAGCATCTCTCTTCCTTGAAGAGTTTGTGAATATTTAAAGAGATGCTCTTTGGAAGAATTTGAAGTGAATAACTTAGCAGTATTTTCTACTTCCCTTCATTACTCCTGTATTCTCTGTGAAATTGCATAGTGAACTTAGTAACGATTCCTTCCTTTTTTAAATTTGTCTTGCAGAACTCCAGCCACAGAAAAAGAACTGTGGTTCCCACAAGTACGCATACAAAATCTCTATTTGAGAGTTACCTTCAGAAAACTATGTTTGAAGTACAGTGAAGACCCAACAAAATATTCTCCTGGGTAGAGGTAAGCAAATTTAAAATATCTACACTTGGATTTTTTTTATTTTTAATTACTCAGTAACTAAGGTTTCCATATTACTGGGCAGTAACATTCCATTTTTATTGCAAGGTGTCTGTAGTTATGAACCAGTCATATTTCTTATCCGTTAGAGTTTCTTCGCTTCATGCTGAAATCCAGCCTCAATTTCTGCTTTCTATTTCCCATTGGTCTTCAATTTCTCACTTGCTTTTTTTTATTCCTTTCACTTGGTTTGCCTCAGTGTTCATCTGTTCATCTGAGAAGGCTGCCTCAGAAAAGATCTCCATTAGGTCAAGTGTCACCAGCTTCCTGTAACTGAGGTTTGCTTTGCAGTTTCCTTAGCTAAACCCATTGAACAGATGTCCATGTTTGTTGCTGAACAAGAGAACCCTGTAGGAAAAAAATCAGTTAGCAGTAGTTCAACTCTTGGTGATTATTCTGCTAAAAGTAACAATCTTGAAGCAGTTGAAGGGAAGTTGTTCTTTCTCCTTTTTTCTTGCTGGATGACTTGATCAGTTCGTCTACTCCTGGACCGGTGGAGAAGAGCTCTCATTTTCATGTTTATTTCTTCCAAATGAAATAAAACTTTCTGTATGCCTTCATTCAGCTTTGCTCCACATACATTTTTATTTTAATCAAAAGATTTCTTGAAGCGAGTGAAGGCCACCTACAGGGCTAGTTTATGTCTTTAAAAGCTTTGTTTATCACCCAGAGTGATAGTCTATCAGAGCGGATTCATTTTGGTTCAAGGACGTATTATTGTCTTGATTGGGCTTACACATCAAAAGAAAGAATTAAAGGGTTCTGATGAAAACTTTCCACCCGACACACAGGTGGCTGAAAGTATGTGCTAGCCTTTCTTGGGTCCTTTTGTCACCTTTCTTAGCTTTCTTGTTTTGAAACATGATAATAGTAGTATTTGAGTTTTCTGGGGATTTTTGTTCTATATTGCATGCTGTGAAAGGATTTTTCTAGGTTCTGCTTCTGGGCTCCCTCTGATCTTGTGATGTTAAACACGCTGCTGTCTTCCCTCGGCATTACTCTCATCATTTTCTTCTCCACTCGTTCCACTTCTGTCCTGTGTATGTGGGAGGGGGCTGGATAGAAGATGTGAGAGCAAATTTAGTAGAATGGCAGAGTAGGGGGATGTCAGGGAATCACACTGCTGAAAAAAAAAAGGCCTCCACAACTTCTAAAGAAAAAAAGGATAGGCTGTACTGGTCTTTGCATTTCTTTTTCTCCAACATAACCACAAAAGTTAACTTTTTTCCAATGAAGCCTTTAAAAAAAAAAAAAGGAAAAGAAGAACGACTGTCACTTTTCTTTGAATTCTGATACCATTTAGTCTCTAGAATTGTGTCCCATGAAAATTCATGGTTTGTTTTCCAAACAATAAAGAATGGTTTATGTAACTCAAATCCCATGTTTCCTGGTATGACTGGTGTCATTTTGACCTTGAAGAACTGTGAATCTCTGTGAATCGTAATGAAAATACATACTTCAATAAAGCATGCCATCATATTTTGATTCATTTTGCATTGTGTGTGTTTAAGGAAATACTAGAACTTCCTTTTGATAGTTTTAATACCTTGGGAAATATGCTGACTTTTGCTTTCTATCTTGCCCTAAGGTCATGTTTGGAAA